GGCAGTGGCAGTGGTAGCAGTAGCAGTAGCAGTCGCAGTAACAGCAGTCGCAGTCGCAGCCGCAGCCCGGCAGTGGCAGCGGTAGCGGTAGCAGTAGCAGCAGCGGTCGCAGTCGCAGTCGCAGCGGCAGTGGCAGTGGTAGCATGTGGTGGCAGTAGCAGTAACAGTCGCGGCGCCAGAGGTAGCGGTAGCGGCAGTGGCAGTGGTAGTAGTAGCAGTAGAAGTAGCAGTCGCAGTCGCAGCAGCAGCAGCAGCAGCAGCAGCAGCAGCAGCAGCAGCAGCAGCAGCAGCAGCAGCAGCGGCAGCAGCGGCAGAGGCAGTGGCAGTGGTAGGTATCGCAGTCGCAGTCGTAGTGGCAGTCGCAGTGGCAGCGGCAGTGACAGTGGTAGCAGTGGCGGTACAGTAGCAGTAGCAGCAGCAGCAAGAGTAGGAGCAGGAGCTATAGCAGGTAGCAGTCCCAGCAGCAATCGCCTTCATTGCCGTAATCATGTAGTGACAGTAGCATTCAAGGAACAGTGTGGATGAGTGTGTTACCCTGATGACATAGTGACTTTGATGGCAGTCAGGGCAGGTGCAATATGTAACAAGAACAAGACTCAGATTAAAAGTAATAGTAGACACAGTATATAACATTAATATAAAATAATGGCAACGTTTCACAACGTAAAAGTAGCGGGAATAGTGCCAACTGTAGTCACGGTGGCATTTCTTGTTCTTATTCTTATGCACGCTATTACGAGTGTTCTTGCAGAAATAGTCACGGCCGTACGGCTCTGACATTCCTGAGTTCTGCAGACTCCTGCGAACTCAACGCAGGATCTGGGAAAAGATGTCAGCCACGTTGATCCCTCGGATGGTGCAGAGCCTGGCTTGCCGAGCCTGTACATGTTTAGTTGGAGCAGTTGTTTTGATCGGGGATCCAAAAGGAAGTACGACCCTACAGGATCTCTTCCGTGCATCTTTCCTTCAATACAGGCTGTATCGGAGGATTTCAAACTTCTTGGCTAATACAAGGTACTTACTCACACATGTTTAAAAGCCTTGCCTGGCAAAGGTGCGAGCATGCTCTGCGAGTGGCACATGGACCAAATGAGGAGCATGATAGACTAACATCCCTACTGAATTTCGAAGCTGCTGAATCTCAACCTCATCATGCATCGGAGCAAGAGGTGTTTGGTTTTGAGATGCATTGAGCAACATGAGCAGCACTTGCAAGAGTTTCTGAAAGTGTTTTGCGGACTGTTGCAGCAATATCTTGCCTCGCTCAACAAGTGTAGGTCTTGTGTCCAAAAGTGTCCAGACGGGTCACTTTGACCTCGTACCTAGACTTTGGTTTTCCCAGAAATAACCTCTGATCACCTCGACGTATGACAAACCCTTCAGACGTGGCGTGTAGAAGCGTACTTAGGAGCCCTCAGACCGTCCTTCTTTCCTCAGGAAGACTTTGGCTGATGTCAAGGTGCCGCTAGATGCGGTGAATCTGCGCCTTGGTCGCTGAATGGTAAGTAGGCCTGAGATACGGTATGTCTCCACACGAAGTTTTAATTTGAATTGCTTGGCCAAGGGTCCATGCAACGGTCAACCATGGTCGATCCCCCGCTGTTCCAAGGTGTGCGAACCCAAAGATTGGAGCTCCTTCGCTGCAGTTACGACTTCGGACGAAGCCGGGCTCAACGTGGGGCAGGGACGGTTGTGTGCACCGATGCAGACATGGGAAATCAACACTGGATGGTCCCATGCACTATACTTAACTTGTTTGGTCGAAGAGTCTCATTCCCAGCATGTATTATGGATGGACAACACACGAATGTTCGCCGAGAGAACCCTGCAGCTTAGAAAAAAGCTAGACAAAAAGAGTGTGCACCGACGGTTGGAGAA